TATTATTATTATTATTATTATTATTATTATTATTATTATTATTATTATTATTATTATTATTATTATTATTATTATTATTATTATTATTATTATTAACAACTGTAAGCAGTGAAAGTAGAACATGAGACAAACCTTGTTAGATGTCCAGTTGCGTATCCATTGCTCACACATTTCATAGCGAGCCTAGACCAGGCCTTTTTATATATTACCGCAATTTATGATATCATACGAATCTAAGTATTTTGCTGAAGCTGTTCTTGCAAAGCATTTTGTAAACATTTCCGACTGAAAATTTATTACTCGCAATACTTCAAAGCATTATCTCTTTATATTCTCCACACGATTACCATAGTGTATATATTGCCTTAACTACGGACGACCTTTAGCGCACTGGTTTAGCCGGTAGCCGTCGAATGGTGGTGGTCGTAGTCATGCCACTTGTATATTTTAGGAACACTTTTTGTTTCCATAATAGTTATGCTGGACGTTGCCCTTGAGCAGAAACTGCCACCTGGAATAGACACTTTGCGATTTTAGCAAGATTACTTGATGCCCAGATGGTAAATTGCATCAGAATTCTCAGTGTTTTCAGATGACAAAGTCGGAAACACTTCCATCCCTCTAAAGGGGCTCATGATTTCTCGTTAATACAAACGGATATAGCTGATGAAGTTACTTGGGAGAGCAAAGGGACGTTTTAAAGTTTCAAAACGCATACACGCCTACACGTGCAGTCAAAATGGACAACCTGTTGTTGCGTAACACTGCCTCGAGCCGCAAGAAAAGGCTTCAATTGAAAGCCACTCACACTCACCATACTCATATTGTCTTAAGAAGCCCCAACATGAATAACCTCATTTTTTAAGTCCCAGCAGCAGCAACTAACATTACGCATATTCTTCGATCGCTAAAAGACAATACGTATTTGATTGTTTTCCTTCCGACATGAATTGACGTTTGGCTGCATACGTTACAGTTAAAACACACACACACACACACACACACACACACACACACACACACACACGCGCGCGCACGCACACGCACACGCACACACACATGCACACGCACACACACACACACGTTTCAGCCCCGCAGGCATGGTAATGTAGAATACGGACACGGCGTATTCGATAATATTGCTAAACATAGCACTTGAGAGTATGTGCTAGAGAGTATGTGGGTTGGAAACTGTCTTTTTGATTAACTGTGTCTACTGTGATAGCTTAGCCTATATAAGTATACTATTGTATAGCTCCGAGAGACACATTACTTTATTACATAATTATACACTCTCTTTTCTCTCGTCTAATTAACACAGTGTCTCCCCTATCGCTTCGGCATACACATTAGTGAGCAGTTTGTCTGAACTACACCAAAAACAAGCTACGCAATAATGAATTCGCACTACGTCGGCGTTATTTTCAGTTTCTGGTGCATGAAGTGGAAAGCGTCTGGGTTAAACCGTCAGCGGCCTCGGTGGAGCGCTTCCACCGTGACTGTGAGAGCCATGCAGACCGAAGAGCTGCCGCTAGTATACCTGCATATAAAATATGCACGAGCACGCTCCCACTCTGGCACTCGATCATTGCGGGTCATCACTGGGAGAGGGCCGTAACTCCTCAACAAGAGTGTGCCTCCACCTGCAGTGGGCGCTTTGGGATGTTATGTGGTAAATCGATCAGTGTGAGAAGCGTTTCGTCGCGATTGGACAAACGATCATGATTTTGTACGTTGGACAGATAAGCATGGGTGTCATGTTCGACCACGAATAGATATATTTTACTAATGGCGCCCAATGGGACGAAGGCAGGCGGAGCACTGGCCAACAGCGCAAATAATTAACACCAGAAAGCCAAACATGTCGCAGCAAGGAGAAGGGGTCAGAACAGGGCTCTCGGGCTGCCCGCCTATATAGATACCGGAGTGCTTCACGTGTCAGCGCAAACATGGGCGTCAAGAGGGGGAGAGATGCAAAAGGAGCAGTCCACTTCCCTTCCCCTACCCCAAACCTCACGAGCGCTCCCCTAAACGCAATCAGGATTATTAAATGCGAAGCATTTATCAGCGATCTTCAGCGACTTTGAATCTATCTATCTATCTATCTATCTATCTATCTATCTATCTATCTATCTATCTATCTATCTATCTATCTATCTATCTATCTATCTATCTATCTATCTATCTATCTATCTATCTATCTATCTATCTATCTATCTATCTATCTATCTATCTATCTATCTATCTATCTATCTATCTATCTATCTATCTATCTATCTATCTATCTATCTATCTATCTATCTATCTATCTATCTATCTATCTATCTATCTATCTATCTATCTATCTATCTAGCCGCTTACGTTTGGGTGTTCTCGTGGTCACCCCCTTAACTTGGCGTGAACCAAAATTAGCATGGGAGGGTAAGATGGTTTGACGAATATGACGCGCTGGTCAAGACATGAATAATGTTACGATCCCCTCGCATACGTCGTCAAACACTTCCCGCCAGACAGTGGCACATACTCACGGGCGGGTATGTGCCGCTGGTATGCGGGTATGTGCCACAGGTGATTGACACTTAGTATCTACCCAGGAACAATGAGAACGCACATGGGCAACTTTAACGCGCGAGCGTTAAAAAATACCCAGCATTGGTATAGCGTCTACCCGACGAATGCAAAGAATAAATGTCAGGGTCTCAGCTGGAATCAAACCCAAACATTCTGCGTGGCAATGAGGCATTTTACCACAGAGCTATGCCAGGTCTCGAAACTACTTTTCAAGTAGACACTAATCTTCGTGAAAAGTCAATACTCTCAGTGCTGCCTACCCCTTTTTATAACCACTACATATGTACTCCTTTAATACAGCCGTCACGTCGGGTTAACGTCAATTGTGGTGAGTTGTCATGCGCTGAAGTTGATTTATGTAGCAGTGTCAAGGGCCAGCATCCTCGCAAGCATCGGCGCTTCATATCAGCTTCTGGTATTGCTAATGCGTATGTTCCAGTTGGCATCATTGCGCATGTGCAAACAACTGGTTATATAAACATCTGCAACTCTTCCACTAATGTCTGTGCGTGCAACACTTGTACATATATTTAGTGTCATTTCATGACGTGTCGCTCAATAAAAAAATTGCAACACGGTCACCTTCCTTCCGCATGCTTCGCATAACGTCGATTCCCAGGTACGTGGGATCTGCCGAATTTTTATTCTGGCTACTATAGTTGACCACTTTCAGTAGTGAAGCTGCACATACATAAACTGAAATATATAGATGAGCACTTACACAACAAAGTCGACTAATTTTCTTACGGCAACGTTTGCAACAACTTGTGTATAGGTGTGGGTTAGTTGGTTCATGATGTGATTGGAATAACTAAAAGCGGCAAAAAAGGAAGAACAACTCCAAAAAAGGAACACACACAACAGGACTAAAGCTGTATTTACTTACGATTGAGTGTTAATTGATGTGGTGAATTTTAAATAGATATTCAGTTGGCTGTACAGCGCTAGTCCTGTTGAATTTTTTTTTGTGCCCCGCTGCGGTGGCCTAGTGGATAAGGTACTCGGTTGCTGACCCGCACGTCATGGAATCGATTCCCAGCTGCGGCGACTGCATCTTCGATGGAGACGAAAATGTTGTACGCCCGTGCGCTGAGATTTGGGTGCACAATAAAGAACCCCAGATGGTCGAAATTTCCGTAGCCCTCTGTTACGGTGGCTCTCATAGTCATATGGTGGTTTTGGCACGTGAAACCCCACATATAAATCAATGAATTTCTGGGATTTTTGGTGCCGAATTTCCTAGTGACACAATCTGCGTTCTGTGATAAAACTGCCTAGGTCACGAGATTTGCGAAAAGGCTGGATTCCTATTTAGCTTAAGACAGCCTCCCACGAGGTCAAACTCTAGGTTGCCTGTAATAGTTTTGTAGTTGTCTAGGTCGCCTGTAATAGTTTTGGCAATTTACACAGTCATTTATTCAATTAGAATAGTCATGCATTGATAGAAAGAAACTTTGCATTTCAGTTTCAGTTTATTAGTTACATAAGCACTAATTAATTAACACTTGTATAGAGATGAGGGTCCCAAAATATGAATGCTGAAAATGGGACCCTAAGTTAAAAAATACAACAAAAGTCAATTAAAACAATTGACACAATATTAGAAGGTGGTAATAATAATCTTACACAAGGCAAAAGAAGCAGCTACATGCCAGAACAGTTAAAACAAAAAATGAAATAATGCAACAAAATGAAAGGCACAATGCAAAATATAATACAAAAAAGCAATGCAATGCAATGTCAAATACAATGTGCACTAGTATTATAAAATAAAAGTAGAAAATGTCCACGAAAGGGATGAAAATGAAGAAAATATAAAAATATACACACAGGAAACAATAATAAACAGAATTAAAATAAGTGTAGACGAGTGCAAAAAAATTAAATACCATGACTAAGGCATTTTCAGCCAAGCCCGTGTCTTGGATAGTTTTTTTTTTCTCATACGAGGACATGACATAGAGCATGAAATATTACTTGTATTCACTCGAGAGCGAAGATAAGCGGTAAAAAATTTGAAAATAGTTGGTGAAAGTGGCACGTAGACAATGAAATACGATTGCGAAATGTCATAAAATATTTCTCAAAAATTGACTGGAGGGCATTACTGTGGGTAGGTGGTGGTGTGGAGCATGTATGGTATAACTATTTTTTACAGCAACTTGCTGCCTGCATAATCCATCGGAACTACTAAACAATATTTAAGCATTAGGTGCAAGGAAGGTTTGAAGCAGCACGAAAAATCACTCAGCTCATTTTATTGTGAATATAATAAAAAAAGAACACGTGGGCAATCCTCGATCACGTGTTCTCGTTCACAGAAAATTGCGTTCACAGAGTGAAAGAAATTGCTAGCGCATGTTTCGGGCGCTTTTGCTTCTCAGCATGCTGTTGACGGTAGAAGATGGAGGTGGTTAATTCTCACTCACGAGAGATTTGCGAGGCTGGGACCCTTCCTCAAAGAAGCGTCAGGACCCTTTGGGTAGGGCCAGAACACGGACAGCTGGTACATGATATCCTCGCCATTGTCTTCTGTCGACAGGGACTCATCGCTGCGACTGCAAGATGCAACGAACGAGTTAGACGGAAGGGAAACGCATTTAATGTCTTCTGAAAGAGATGAAAGCAAACTTGACACACTCGCCAAAACTACAGTGGTGTCTGGAAAGTGAATTTTGAGACCAAACCGAATGTGAATCGAATACTATTCGAATGTTTTTCGAATGGCAGGGCAACTATTTTCGAAACAGCCCTAGAATTCACATCATGTACTTTAAATAAAATGTGTACGAACTTTAGCGAAGGAACAATCAAATTACTTTTAGTAAACAAAAAATGCCTCCTTTATGTAAAATGCAGTAAGCTCGCGTACAGAAGCAGTTACAGCCTCCCAGATATTTTGTAAGTGCACATTTAAACAAGGTATTGGCTTCAGTATTCAAGTTGGTACTTTGTCGCCCACTTTCAAAAAGAACCGACAAAAGAAAAATTATCAACGTCCAACCGAACACCAGACATACAGCAAAATATGTCACGAAACAAATAAACCAAATGTCACAGCATGAGACTTTGAACGAAACGCAGGTGAACATCGGTGTTGAATAGCGCACGTACAAGAACAATTTGCACAAACATAACACTCGCTTTTTTTCTACTTGTAAGCGTGTGAAATCATTACACTTCTGAAGGTGGATGCAGTCATACGCGTGAGCATGGAGGAGGGGGAATGAGGGGGGGGGGGGCGGCCGCCCTCTTTAGTCCCTTGAGAGGGGGCCGCAATGCCAGCCGCATACATAGACCTAACAGGGAGGGAGGAATCAGTTCTATACATTAACCAAATAGGGAAGGAGAAGCGCTGCGACGAATCCAAATCTTCACCTGGATACAGCCTTGTCTTCATCTTACGTTAATGCAAGATTAAAATAGAAGTGGCTGATGCAATGCATCTGCAGCAAGATTAAAGCTTTGCACAGTGACGCCTAACGCAGTTGGATAAACGCACTAATAATACCACGCCTTCATTCTGAGGTCAGTATAGTTTAAGTAGAAGCTTGGGCTATGTGCCTTGGTAACTCAGTAATTTAAAAAAAAATGGCTTCTCACCGCTTCAGCGCTTTGCTCCTTTCGGGATTTCCTGTTGGTGTTGATTATTCAAAAACTATTCGATAACTTTTCGACACGTTGTGTATAGTCTAATGTACTGTCGGACTACTGAATCAAATAGAACGTTATTCGAATTGTTATTCGAAATTTTCGAATAATTGCACACCCAAAATAACACAAAGATACGTTGGACATATGAACAGCACAGACATTTGGCGAAACCCCTAATGCTGTTCAAAAAGTGAAGATAAGGTAACTGAAATCGAGCTCCGACCTTTAACCACCTATATATATGTGTGCTACTGTAAATTTGTAAAGTTAGAGAACATAATGAACCTCGAGGCCTGGCAACCTGGCGAATTGCTGGCTGGTTGGGAACAATATGGAGGACCAATTTACGACGTGTTTATTAGGTGAAATAGGATATCCAACATACCAGTTTTACTCGTCACCGCTGGTTCTGCAATTTTATCGAACGTTGGTATCGTGCGGTGAAATGAACAGCCTACTTAATGGACATTTACATACTGACCCCCATCCCCCCACCCATTTCAGTTTTTTAGCAAAACAACTGACCAGTGCTAAATGACGCTTGCGCTGTATTTTCTACTTTTTCATGCCTACAAAGTTGGTGGTGTCTTTCCGTGGGTAATTTGCGTTGCTCTACATCCTTTCTCCTCATTCCATATATTGATCCGTGCGTTCAAGGCGCTGATATAGCCAGAGAAAGTGGATTCAACCCTTTTCTTTCCAAGTTTTTACATTTTTTTACATGAATACAGCATACATACAAGAACCCATACGAACGCACGCAGGATCGTTCTCCTCCCCTATAGTCTGCCCCTAATGTACAAGCTATGGAGCCGGGCAAGTTACTGACATCCCTCAGGTTCCACCCTCTCTCTCTCCTTCACATATTCTCGCATGTGCGACTAAACGATGGAATTTTGTGTTGCTTCTTCAAATTAAACGTGTCCATGCGCCTCCAGCTAAGGATCTCAAAACGGCAGTTTAATTTCTTTCTTACATTTTTTCGGGATACTGCTCAAGTTTGCACGAAGGAAGTGCAGCGGTTTCGTAACCACGATAACTTATTGTTAAAATTTCGTAAAACTGTTGACGCAGTCAATGGCAGCTGGTAAAATTATGGTATGGATGCTCGCAAAAGGCAAGTGCGCTTCTACGAACACGGAAGTGGCATCAGTTCAATACATGTTAACACCAACGCCAAACCACGGAAGCACACTTTTATCCAAAATGCAACTGCGTCACAATATTCGGGATACTTTTTTGAAGCCAGAGAAATACGAAAGTGTTCCTTAAAAAAGAGTTTCACATTAATTATGCATAATTTTCGCTAAATTTTTGCTCGTGGACAAAGTTAAGAAAGAAATAAGGCTGAAAATAACAAATTTCTGATAATTGCGTCGTGGACAATGGTTTTTTTGTATGTTATGTTTTCATAAAATTTTGCACGCGTCTCACACGGTGGAAGTAGGTTCATTTCGTGGTGTTATTTTTTATGTTATTTCAGAGAGTGAGAGAGGGAGTTGAAACATTTTGCTATTGAAATTTCGCAGCTGCGTGAAAACCTACATTTATGAAAGCTCACGGAGCTCTCGTATTGCCACACTCGTGCTCCCAGATATTTGTGGTCGCACATAGTTTGCGTTCAACTTGAGTACGGCGCTGCACTGTACCTTCGCGCATGCGTTTTTTAAGTGCGGGTTAGTACACCATCGTTTTGGTAATTATTTCAAATACCGTTCAGGTTGTCACTCCTGCAGAACGCCGATCACCAGTGTCACTTGATTCACAAAATGCGCCTGGAAAGTTGTCTGTCACTCCATTTGTCTCCTTCCAACTGACATTCGGCGACTGACACACGCAGAGTGACATAAGGCAGTTGAGATTGGTGCCGTATTTCTACGATCAGCTCGTTCCTGCGCCGCTGCTATTGACGGGGTAGGCTCCGCAGCATGGTTACTCATGCAGTAAAGCAGAACCGCAAGCAAGCGGTGTCTTCGCATTTTACGAGGCAACTCGCAGAAGCTCTGAGACATAAGGCAACATGCGTTGATAGCAAAGACAAACAAGGAGTTTGCTTTCTGTCCTGCGTTGTTGCTTTTTTTTTGTTTTGAAAACGCTGTAGTTCAGGAACTACACATCTCTCACCAACAGATCTACCTGTATATGCCTTGAAGAGGCGTGTTCAGCGGCAGGTTAATGAATGTGTCAAGCGAACGCATGACCTCCTGCGAGTGCTCCTTTGCGAATACTTTCGACGAGCGATTAAAAAGGGGGTCAAGCGAGGCGAGAGGTGTGTGTCCGCGCCCAACTGCGAGACGCACCAGTGCAGCTCCGCCCGTCAAACCCTTTCCGAACCTCAGTTCGCAAACACGTCCCGGCCTCTCTCTCGAATGGACGTACCTTAGGCTGTCGCCTTCTGAATATTCGCTCGATGACATGTCCGGCCGACCGCGTCTTCCTGGTTACGTTGTCGCAGCAGCTAATGATTTATCTCGCGCGACGGCGGCGAACCACGACTGCCATGGCAACAGCGCAGCAGCCATCTTGAGGACAGATCGAGCTGCGGCTGCTTTTTCCACTCACGTGTCGCGCAAGGCGCCTCCTCATATTGTCGTACTTTCGTTTGGGGACGTATACCCGCTGCCAGAAGCCGAAGCAGATTGAAGCGCCACCTGTTGCTGGCTTCGAAGCGCAAATGCAGCGTCGTCGATATAACACTACAATGTGGCAGGTATTAACCCGTACAGCAGTGGCTGCATCGTGAGCTTCCGATTGTTTGGGGCCCGTTTCACGTGCACGTAGAACTCCAGCATCCATAATTCACGCCAGCCCTGATTTATTGCGATAATTCACGGTGTAGTTTAGAAGGCATACAAAGAAAGAAAGAAAGAAACAAAGAAAGCAAGCAAGAAAGAAAGAAAGAAAGAAAGAAAGAAAGAAAGAAAGAAAGAAAGAAAGAAAGAAAGAAAGAAAGAAAGAAAGAAAGAAAGAAAGAAAGAAAGAAAGAAATAACGCAGGAATCATGTACACCATGACGCAGAATAGCAAATGCTAAAAGGCTGAGTGCAGTTTTGTTGCTCATTCGGTTCTCTTCACTGCACAAAGCATGAAAGAACAACATACTTTTATTGTCTTATAATAGACAACAGATGGCGCCTGAACACGCGAAATCCCACGGTGTGGAGCAACGCGTGAGCCAAATTTTTGGGAGCTTGGTTGAGTTTTCGCGACTTACTTAGATGTGACCCCTATGCAGCAAAGTGCGCATTTAACACGATGTCATGCGTTTAGGGACTAGTATACCAGATGTCGTGTTTAGGGACTAGTATACCAGCGGACAAGCGTTCGGTGTTTTTTTTTTTCATACTTTGTCTTACTGCCGAAAAATACGAAACTACGTGTAACCACGTCAACCTTCTTTTATATCTCACTAGCACGGTGCGCGATCGATTTTTTGCCAGGTGCCTCGTTCATGGCTCGCTCTTTTTCGGTCATCATTTTTCGGCGGCGCCACTATGCAGTCTGTTGTCTTTTACAAACGACTGCATAGTGGTGCCGCATATATATATATATATATATATATATATATATATATATATATATATATATATATATATATATATATATATATATATATATATATATATATATATATATATATATCGGACAACAGGGATTTCACTCGCAACTGTGACCAGCTCCGTAAAGCATTAACCGAACAACAATATCCTTCACAAATAATTGACGACGCTCTCCAACGGGCCAAATGTCTCGATCGGAAAGAGCTCATCAGTAAGGACAAGCCATTAGCGCCACCTTCCCGAACCAACCTCGTTCTAACGCATTCTGCATCTATTCCTAACGTGTCGCATATACTCAGAAAGCATTACAACTTACTGACACAGAGCGATCGGCCTAAGGACATCTTCACTTAATCACCGCGGGTTGTATATCGGAGATCAAGGAACTTGCGCGACATGGTAACTTCCTCCAAGACTAGATTCATTGCTCCCGTTGGTTGTCACCCCTGTAAAAAACGCGATGTAAAGTTTGTGCGCACATGACCACTGCGACTGTTGCTAAAAGCATGGCATCTAACTTTTCACTTAAAATTAAAGGGCAACATCTTTTACTTACTTGAATGCTCAATCTGCCACATGCAATACATCGGTCAAACCGAGACATCTTTTCGCATCCGTTTCAACAACCACAAATCACACGTAAACAGTTTGCCACATCTTCCATTGTCCAAGCATTTTCATCTACCAGGTCATTCGTTTGACAAGATTATGGTGACACTATTAGAATCGGGCTTTAAATCGCACCATGATCGCGAAATTCGAGAATCGTTCTTGATTCACAAGTTCAACAGTCTGTTATCTGGCATTAACGAATGCGTAGGCAAGGTGTCATGCCTTTCTACGATGCCCTGATGTCCGAAATTTTGAGAAATATTTAAAAAAGCATCCCTAACGTATTATATACTTCCTAAAGGTTATCACATATTTATTTATTTTTTTCATGCGTTATCCTCGTCGTCAATGGTGAATGTTACAAATGCCTTTTACATTCCCACAATATTGTCTATTGTATTACATTTTTTAATTGTTCTTTTAGTGTAGTCACGGCTGTTTCAAAGAATTTTTGTGACACTCACATGCTCAACGCACGTGTTTTGTACTGACGTGTTCATGCCTGCCTATAAAAGCGGCCCTATACTCATAGTTCTGTTAATCCTGACGAAGGCCGTGCCACGGCCGAAACGTAAAGTAAACAATTATCAAATTCTCGTAAGTTTGCTCCTTTATTCCTAATTATATATATATATATATATATATATATATATATATATATATATATATATATATATATATATATATATATATATATATATATATATATATATATATATATATATATATATATATATATATATATATAACATCATCTTAATACATAAGAAAGCCTGTAATTCTTCAAGTCCTTGTCATCTCCTTTCTTATGTATTAAGATGATGTTATATATATATATATATATATATATATATATATATATATATATATATATATAACATCATCTTAATACATAAGAAGGAGATGACAAGGACTTGAAGAATTACAGGCCGATCAGCTTGCTCTCTGTAGTATACAAGCTATTTACAAAGGTAATTGCTAGCAGAGTAAATAAAACATTGGAATTCAATCAACTAAAGGAACAAGCAGGATTTCGAACAGGCTACTCAACAATTGACCACATTCATACTATCAATCAGGTAATAGAGAAATGCTCAGAGTATAACCAACCACTATACATAGCCTTCATAAATTACGAGAAGGCGTTTGATTCAGTAAAAATATCAGCCGTCATGCAGATACTGCGGAATCAGGGCGTAGATGAAGTATATATAAACATTCTGGAAGAAATCTACAGGGGATCAACTGCTACCATAGTGCTTCATAAAGAAAGCAACAGAATACCAATCAAGAAGGGTGTAAGGCAGGGGGACACAATCTCCCCAATGCTATTTACCGCGTGCTTACAGGAGGTTTTCAGAAGCCTAGAATGGAAACAGTTAGGGATAAGAGTTAATGGAGAATACCTTAGTAACCTGCGCTTCGCCGATGACATTGCATTGCTGAGTAACTCAGGGGACGAATTGCAACTCATGATTACGGAGTTGTATGACGAGAGCAGAAAGGTGGGTCTTAAAATTAATCTGCAGAAAACGAAAGTAATGTACAACAACCTCGGAAAGGAGCAGCGCTTCGAGATAGGTAATAGTGCCCTTGAAGTTGTAAAAGACTATGTCTACTTAGGGCAGGTAATAACCGCAGAGCCTAACCACGAGATTGAAGTAACTAGAAGAATAAGAATGGGGTGGAGCACATTCGGCAAGCACTCTCAAATTATGACAGGTAGATTGCCACTATCCCTCAAGAGGAAGGTATATAACAGCTGTATCTTGCTGCTACTTAGCTACGGAGCAGAAACCTGGAGACTTACAAAGAGGGTTCAGCTTAAATTGAGGACGACGCAGCGAGCAATGGAAAGAAAAATGGTAGGTGTAACCTTAAGAGACAAGAAGAGAGCAGAGTGGATTAGGGGACAAACAGGGTTAAGGATATCATAGTTGAAATAAAGAAGAGGAATTGGACATGGGCCGGGCATGTAGCGAGTAGACAGGATAACCGCTGGTCATTAAGGGTAACTAACTGGATTCCCAGAGAAGGGAAGCGGGTTAGGGGGAGACAGAAGGTTAGGTGGGCAGATGAGATTAAGAAGTTTGCGGGTATAAA